TTGCTGGGCACTTCAGTATATGCAATTTTGCAAAGCTCTGATGCAACCCACAAGTCCGTAACACAGAAGGCAGCTGGCTTGAATGGATCAAAGTTGAGATATGGATATGTAGGCCCCAGAAGTGGAACATTGTGTGATTATTTTTTCAACCTTCTATGTAGGGAATAGCTAAATATGTTCTTGCACATTTGTTGGGCATAACAAGAGAGAAAAACAACAAAAACATGAAAATTCCACAACAAAATACTAAGTAATTATTTATGTGGGAATATAAACAAAAACCTGGACATGCAACATCCAAACAAATTTGAGCCATTCTAACACTTCACCAAATCTTTTCTTAGGTTAAATACCCCCAGAGTTGAGAATGCAGGAATAAAAATTTAGAGCCATCCAAAATCAAAATTATGGCCCAAGATTAGTCAAGGGATAACAGTTCAGATTAGTCCAAATTGTCCCACCATTTACTGTTCCCCTAGCAGTGATTCTGTTCAAAGACCGTATTCACCACCCTCATGGCATCTGGTGCAACCCAGCCGAAGAGCTTTTAAAATGAATTATATATTCTTTGAATGTGACTTCAAGTTGTGTTATGCAATCCTAACAGAGAGAGAGACTTTTCACTACCAGTACACCTTTTCCTCCTAATAATCAAATTGAAGTGACTACACCATTGAAAGGGCTCAATATATATCATATAGGAAGGTAAATAACATAGGTGCACACCAAGGATACATGAAGGCATAGAGCTGGAATAAGTCATGAATACAAAGAAACCACCTCCATAGAGGTTCCTGATTTTTTTTCCTGGTGCACCTTTAGGAATTATTCACAACCCTGTGTATGGATCAATTAGCAAGCCAGTGATTCAAATGTTCCCATTGAGCATGGAATTGCACTTATTCCACTTTTTTCCAATGACTTGAGTGTCAAATTAATAGTAAGATAAATACTGATAACTGATAGAGATTGAGTTCAGAGTTCCTATGTAATCATGTTACAAAGCCAAATTTTCAAAGGCAAGACATTGAATTCTGGCAAACATCTAGTTATCTGTTCAAAAAAAAACAGCTTATGCTGCACTGTCCAAATGGGGCCTTGGTTTTGATACAGGCAAGATGATTATTTAATGTGGGGTAACCCAGGTCTTTTTACATGATTTACAATACTTACACAAACCCAGAGTTTTTGTTCTATATATTTTATAATAATCCAACTGCTTGATGTATAACAAATCTTTCACTTAGTAAGTAATAGACATGATTGGTCAATTTGAAGCAATTTGAAACACATTACATAACTAGATGATTTCAAAAATGAACAATGTGTTCTTCATTAGCATCAAATTTCTTTTTAACAATGTTCTTCAAATTCCTTTGTAGGAATGTTCACTTTCAATCTTGATCAAGATTGAATGTTGCTGGTCAAGATTAAGTGTTGATTGAATGTGACCAAATTTAAAATTTCTTTTTATCAGTATTCTACTTGCAATCTTGATCACAATCTAATTTTTTGAACTTTCAATTTTTTTTTATAAATATCCAACTTCACCCATGGACTAAGACATCAAATTATAACAACTCAAAGCAAGTTGACTTGCAAAAGAAATCAAATCTCATGATGTCCAAACTGATCACCCAAAGAAATCAGAAACTTGTTCTCTCTTTGTTGGTCTTTTGGTTAGCATTCAACTTGCATCTTCATTAGTGTGAATTTCTTTCACCTGTTTCCAACTTGAATCTTCACTAACATTAAATCTCCTTTAGCATTTTTCAACTTTCAATGATGATTAAGATAAAATGTTTGCACTTTTGTCCCCTTGTGCTCATTCAGTGAACTTATCACATTATTGAAATGCTTTTCATATGCTTGTATCTGGTCAACCTTCCTTAGCCTGACATAAAAAGTTGTACCTACCAAATTCTATTATTCCCCATAATTTCAGAAGGGACAAAAAATAAACCTCATTTTATTTAAAAACTCCTCTTGGACTTGAAATATATCAATATTTTATTGTTTAAATTCAAATCCTCCTCTCAAATCAACATATTGCTGTCTGGAATCAGTATTATTCTTAACTTCTCAAAAATATATCAATGGCTGGGTGAGGACACCTTGGACTAGAGGAAATACCTTCTATGGGTTGGAACCACTGGTCCATACCAGTAAACTTCCACTGAGCTGATTCTAGCCTCTGCAGAGTAGCTCACATCTGAAAGAAGTGGATATCCACATCATCAACCTGAATCTCCTTTTGAATCTCATTTAATCATTGCTTTTATTTCCATCACAAAGAACAACCAGAAGCTCCAAGAGAAGAAGACATTAACAGCAAAGTTCAGAGATACTTTTGAGTTTTAACCTGAGTCTGTTGAATTCACTGATCAAATCACTTTCCTCAATTTAATTCGTCAGCCCAGTAATTCCATCAGGTATCAACACCAGGAAGAGAATCACATCTCAGGGGGAGAAAGTAGATGTACATACATATTGGGCTCTTAGAATGGCCCTTGGTCTTTTTTCTATTTCTGGCTCTTGCTAATATTTCTCTAGCTCAAGTTACACCATTATTCATTGTTTACTATGTGCAATAGATTCTGTCTGGTCCAGTCTTTCACTTCAGCAGGTAAAATCTCATCATTATTTCTATTCCTTTTACTGTCTTTTGTTGAGTTTTTTTGCTTTGTAATTATTGTTACTACTACTGATGTTTAAAGATTTATTGCAATGATCTTGATCTCATTCGACCTTACTAAGTTGAAAATTAGATGATACTTCAACTATCTGGGTAAGTGGTTACCTATCTGGGGTGTTTGTCAAGGATCAATTTTTTTCTTCATTGTCATGGAGTGTACCAGACAATCACACTCTCTCCATGAGATTGACCTTTCTGAACAGCCATTGTTGCAAGTACACTCTCCAGAATGGCCATTCAGAACAGCGGTTGAAGAATATTGTACCCTTGGCCCCAGCGCTGCCATTCGGAACAGCCATTGAGGAGCGGAGGAGCGTAGCGTTGGCCTCACTGATGTTGTTCAGAGCGGTCGTTGAGGAGTGTCCCCTCGGCCTCAGCGATGCGGATCAGAACGGTCATCGAAGAGACTGCTCTCTCAACGATGGCCGTTTAGAACGGCCATCAAGCACAAGAGGGCTTGGGGCAGGTATGTACCCTGTATGCCGGAGCGGTACCCGGTTACCGGCAAATCTCTGCAATGCTGGGATGCCCAGCGGTTGCGCAGCGATGGAAGCCGAAGGAGCTTTGCTTGCGAGTTCGGACGAGCTGATTATGTAAACCTCAGCCGGCGGGGCGAGGGACGGCGAGGGTCATCTCAGGTGACCTTGTATAGCCTTCGTACTCAGTGTACGAGGGCTATTGAATAGCCAGATGTCAGTCGACAGGGGTGAAAAAAAAAAAAAAAAAAAAAAAAAAAAACAGGTTGGGCATGGCACATTGGAGGGGGACAACAAGAAACTACAACAAACAGTGTTACCAACAACCTTTACAGCTTGTCAGTGTGTGGAGAGGTGGTGGCTGAATGATTCCAAAACAAGGAAAAAAATTGACCAAATCATGGACTTCGGTTAAAAATTGAGTCCTCCTTGAATATTATATGATACTTTGATCATAAAATTCCAGTTGACTGTGGATCTGCAAGGTAAAAATTCATGTCATCTCTCTAAAAAACCAAGTCAAATCAAATCAAAAGGAAACCTAACCTTAAATTTCAAATCTCAATCTCTCACCTGCAAAAATTCTCTCTACTTGATCCTAATTTTCCACCCTCTTACAACTCTTTTCCACTTACTCTCCCTTGCCCACTTACTCTCCCTAACCCATAACACTTATCAAAAAACTTAACCCTCAATAATCATCTAAAACCTGCCAATCTCATCAACACTATCAACAGTCAAAAAAAAAATCATTGTTCAAACTCTCTCAACTTGTCCACAATTGAATCCATATTTTTTTGTTTTCTCTTCTCACTTCTCTCTTTATGTTTGATATGAGCAGGGTTCATGATTGAAATTTTCAATTTTTTAAACCCAAACCTCAGGCCTTTATCAACAACATTTTAGATGGATATGGGTTTTTCTGAAAAATCTGCACAAATTTTTGAATTTCAACAAAAAAACACCATAGAATGGGCTCTGGAAATTGGTAGATTCTTATCATGAACCCCACTGGCACTATTCTAAACTATTCTTTTGATTTGTTACTGTTCATTTTTAATTACTCTCTTTTACTGTCATCTTTCAGATGTCTGCACTAGACCAACATATCACTTAGGGTACACTCTCTTAACTTCCACTATGTTGTGTTTTTCATGCATCTTCTTAGGTTCTGACATTTTCTTTGTACTAAGGCTTACACAAATAGTTTACCGGTGAGTACAGTTCACATTTCAACATCCATGTTTTGATTAAACTGGTTTCAATATGTTTGCATTTGAATGAAATCTTCTTTATTTTGGATATAAATCTGCTTGCTGGTTTCAAAAAGCTTGTAAAATTGGCAGATGTGCAAGCTAATTTTAAATGTATTGCTCTACTGGTTTCACATAAGAAAATCACTGAAATATCTCAAATGTGAACTGTCCTATTGCAGACAATTTGACAAACCATTGCTGAGCAAAGACCCTCAGGCTCAACTGAGTGCCTTCAAATTTATCAATAGCCAGATCTGCCATGAAGCAGGGGTTTATGGTAGTCACAATTGAGGGAAATTCATAATCAAAATTTTCACATAGTAGACCATAATAAACAGATGGACCAAAAGAAACAAATACAAAAGAATAAGATGAGACAGGTCTGGCTATTAGCTCAGGTCATGGAAAATAAGCAGGCTTTTTGTCCTGTTGGGCAAGAGGGAATTTACGCTCAGGTTTCACTTCCTCCCTCAAGGGACTCTAGGTACCTTTCATCAACTTCAATTGATAATGGAATTTGCGCAAACTATCATTCTTCTTTAATTTTGATTAAACTGTTCTTGTTGTTTAGGCCCAATGCTCCCTCCCCAATTCCAGCAGGTTCCAATCCTCAAGGGTGAATGATTAGATAAATAAAAGTGAATTCAACAGAAAGAAATACAGCATTTTTGTAAAGCGTTTTGAAGAAGCTTCTAATAAACCAAGAACATTTGATCACGTCTTCATCCGATTCCCAGCCGAAGCTGATTGTTATCAACCCAGCACAACAAAACAGCGGAGTCACGTCTTGATTTGAACAGCCAGGAAAAACGAATCATGGATCGCGATCCGAGGGATTTCGAGCAAAGCAGACAGTGGAGGAACTGTGTTACAACCTGTAGGAAAAAATGTTCAATTAAGAAACAATCCAGTGAGTTGGGCCCGCCCAAGACATTGCTCCTAAAATGAAACCTCAAAGCTTACACCATACTCGATTATTTTCGCGAAAGACGAATTCTTCAGTAACGCTCCAGAGACAATCTTCAGATAGATATATGCCCTGTGAATGGTATCCGTTGGCGCGCCTTAGTTGTTTGATACCAACTGTGATGATGGTTGGGCGACTATACAGTGCAAAGGTAGTATGGCACGTATCAATGCACGATATAGATACTGATAGATAGTTCGCATCTAGGTTCCTATCCTTGACGTGGTTCTGGAAATTCGAAAGCTTTGAGACGCGTTCGCGAAGTTTTGTGAGCCGGGCTCTGATCCCACTGTCATTTGGGTTCCTTTGGAGCTTGGCTAGCAGATGACAGATCAGAAAACTTTATGTTAAGCGACGTTTCTTGTTTCTACTAGACTCAGAGAGTTTGCAAAGACGATGTGCACCATCCTGCGGGTACTACTTACCTAAGGTTAACTTCCATTGAGACCGCGCAAAAAATCGACTTAATATCACACCTGGATGTTTAGCTCCATATGCCAACTTTTCGCAATCGCCTTCTTGAACAATTGGTGGGTATTCGATCCGACTGCAGAGGGCATGTATTCCATGGATTGGGAAATACGCCCTAATGCCCTCTGAATTTTGAACTTTCATTGGAGTATCGAGCTAGGCGAATCGTGGACAACGGAGCCCTTCGTAATATACACAGCTTGATTTCTATCGGGTAAATCTCCGCCGCGATTTTCTTACTGGTAACGGATGTGGAGGAGAAAAGGTGCTTGGGAGACAGAGGCAAGCCGAGAACTATCAAGTTGCTTGTGAATATTGTTGTTGGAGCACAAGCTACATGGCTCTGCCGATTGATGAACATTGATGAAAAGGGTTTGGCTGAACAACAAATTTTTAGCTGGAAGCATTCGCGAGTCTAGTAGAACTCTGGTCGTACTCAGCTTCACAATGGGGATGAACCTGAGTCGTCGTAGATAGTACATACTCATAGGCTCAGACATGCCTTTCGGCCGCACTCGACTCAGTCAAACGGACAAAAAATAAACGGCCAGCCACGCAAACAACTTCAAACATGCACTTTAAACATGCACAAAGACACGCAGCTGCCTTTAACATTACGTTAACGGGGGATAGGTGGAATTTTTGGTATGCATGTATCGGTGTATCCCCACCCTTTGTACATGAATGCATTTTTGAACTACAAATACGGCAGTCCACGCTGGCCAGAAGGTGTTGCTGATGTTGAATAAGGCTTGTCTGCTTAGCACAATGTTTTACCAAAGTTTAAGCCTGTGAGGGTGCAATTTACAGCTGAGCATCAATGCTTGGTGTTGTATCAGCAAATCCGATTTTAGCCAGGTTTGCTCTCAGCAGTCTAACACAGCTTAGTAGCTCCTTTCTCCCACTGTGCCGTTTAGGGTTAGTGGAATTAAGACCACAAACGGCTAAAAGTGAATCCTATATCTGGTAGCTGGACCTACTGTTGGTAGCAGGGAGTATATTTGCCCCATGTTAAGACTGGAAGTAAGCATAAACATTCACATCATCATGTACGTCAGACATGTTCTCCACAGTGTGCTTGCGTGCTCAGATTAGTGGGAAGTCAGTGTTAAATCCATTTCGACTTGTTCCTTCAACAAAACAGGGAAATGTTGAGCGAAGAGGTTACTTGATCCAATCCGCAACTCGTGATCCAGGATCTCTGGTCAGGTCTTGAGCTTCTTGTGAATCATGTAGGATGTCCGTCAACTGCTCGCGGACTAAAACTGGAAAGCCAGGGCCCCACAGTAAGCTGGTGGTGGTGACCAGTTTGGTGCCTCCACGCCACTTTCGCCCGTCCAAAACTGGCGAGCTCAAACAGCCAGTTGAGCCTTTAAGTTTGGCAAGGTGAATGACCCTGTCATCTTTCAATAAGACCACGTGTAAAGGAAATGCGAAGTTGGAAAGCAAATGCAGATAGGGAGCAACCTCAGACTGCGCTGGCATGCCCTTGTAATGTCGTCTTTATCTGAGATCAGCTTCGGCTACGGCCAACATCACCGCCTGGGGCAATTGGAGCGTTCAAAGAGACGGGACAAGTCCTCGGCCCAGACCAGGTATATGACTATAGCAGATTCAAGAGACGCAATCAAGAGGTTTAGGGTGGCAAAAGAAATGGCTCATTTGGATTCCTGTGGGGAGAATGACTTGGCTTCGGAACGTAACATCTACTATCATAAAATGCAAATCAATTGATGGGACTATCAGACATTGCTTATGCGGATTTGGGCTTGTTGGTGCGAATGTTTGATTGGGCGATTCGGGCAGCTCGTAGAATGGCGGCTCTGGCGAGGTCAGATCGGTAGTTTTTGGCGGCCTTGGCCGCTTTGCCAGCAGCTCTTCGGGATCCGGCCATTGAACCCTTGACTCGGACGGTAGAGCGTGCGGACTTGATGTGACGGGCTGGTGAGTTTATATCAATTGGCATTAGATGATTGCGAAGAGTACCAGTTGTAGGTAGGAAGAAATAGAGACCAACGGTTGGCAGAGGCTTTTCGAGTGGTAATTAAAACACCACCGGAAGGGGCTGGGGTCACAGCCATTGGCTTGGGGTGGACGAGTCCGGAGTATCGAGGAGAATGCTTGTTCTATTGGATCAAGGGACCGAAGAGACATGTAAGGCCAGATTACATCAAGAGTGGGAAGCCATAGTCATGCGCGTACCTTCAAGTTTCCGGACTCTGAGCTGAACATAAAGCCAGCCGAGCCTCGCTTGACGACTTTAGAGTTCCATCCCTGAGCATAGAAAATTGTAGTTCATAAGTCAACATAAGGTAAACTATATTTCGGTTGCGCTTTTGAAAGTCGGGCCACTCACTCGTAGGAGAAACCATTGTAAGTCTGCGGAACCTGCGTTATCCTATAAAGAATGGGGTTACAAATTAACAATTCATCATGACCCAGAAATACTAAACGTTATTTGTTTTCGAACGGGCGCTGATGATTCCATACCATTTGATAGAGTCTTAGTCGGATTCGAGTGTCGGGTGCGGTTGGCTTCCAGGTCTGACTGGCCAAAGCCGCCAGCCGGGCATACCATCCAGTACAGTGCCTCTCGGGTGGGCCTGCAGCGCCGCAGCGGGCCGGCTGCGGGTTGACCACCGCAGTCGTGCGCGATCATCACGTTAGGTCAAAGCTGGTGAGCCCACACTGGAGTACAAAAAGCTGGAAAATTCCCATTAGCTGAGACCCACGCACCTTCCGAACCCACTCTTCACCGGCTGCAGAGCCATCTCGGATCAATGGGCTGATGGTAAGTTGAGACAGTATTCTCTCTTTCTCCACCCCTTCCGAGCTATGATGCCACAGATATTTCTTCACTTTCCAACGCCTCGGCGAAAGCGGAACGAAAAAAATAGACAAGCATATGTCTGAGCTCCACTGTCCAACTTCACTTTCTGATTAACTGCATTCTGGAAGACTGACAATTCTCCCCTCCTCTGCTACGGCTACTCGTTTAGGTCTTTATATAGCCGGCCTGGCGATTGATTCGAGTCGCTACCCTTCGATTCTGCTACACGTGAATTCTTGGGCAACTTATCTTCCCCATTTCACTTCATGTATTCATCTTTTCATGTATCCATCTTGTCATTTATCCATCCACCTTGATGCCCATCGCAATAAAGTTATTCACTTGATACACACTGCCACGAACCGTCGTTGAACTGCATCTCCTTGAACAAACGTTTCTGAGCAGCCATCTACATGTCGCTCAGTGCTCCCAACCAGGTCATGTTGCCTCATTCAACCTAATTGAAAAAGTCCTTATCAGAGGGCCCTGCGTAGCCAGGCTGGCGCGAACCGAGCCTGTGCCCATGGCACGCCGCCGCCACCCCCCCTCCGGAGCGACACAATTTACGCAAGTCCCTCCGTGTTCGCGGGGCGCGAGCACTCGGAGACGCTTCGCTCCTCCTCCGGAGTGGGCTGAGGTGGTAACTCAATGAAGCAATGTAAGCTGAACGAAATCAGTCGGCTTGCGCCGAGGATATGCCCTAGGATGGTCGCGGCACCATCGTGGAGAACAACATGGAAAGCGCCTGATGAGGACTTTCTCTACCCAACTTGCTTAGATCTATATTGTATAAATATGTATGTCTACTAAAATTATTTTCAATCGTCATTTACTGCAAGGAATCAGCCGTGACGCGTGGGAACATCTTGGAAACTCGGTTCCTGTTCTCAAAAAACCAATGTTGCAGCAGCAGGGAACTGAAAGATATTGTAGCGTGCATTTTCGTAAACATTCGGTCTAACAAAAGTTTTGCCTGGCATAGCTGATAAGCAATTGGAAAGACAACAACTAATGGGCCTTCGAGCGCAATAAGGGGAGGCACAGGAAGAGAGATCCATCCACTTGGGCTACGCAGAGAATGATGATAATGCGGGACGGAATTAAGGATTGGACTTGGAAAGGCCAAGATCTTGTACTTTTCCAGAGGAGAGGTTATAGACCCAACCATGGACAGAGAGAGTTTGACCTCTAGCCCAGGCGCTTTGGATGATCTCATGGTCGATGATATTTTTGACCTGATTTTCGACGTTGAGGGTGACGAGCTTCGGAAGGGTGAATTCATCGTTCTGTTTCTTCAATTCGTTCAAGGCCAACTCTTTGATCGGGCCGATCCATTTGGCGATCGCCGCCTCGCCCTTGTCGGTCGGCGTGGCCGGCGCAGGCTCGTCGGCTTTGTGGGCGCTCGCTGCAGCCAGTGCAGCCGCACAGCCTCCACAGGATTCGTGGCCAACGACAACGACGTGGGTCACTTTTAAGTGGTTCACAGCGTAAGCTAGTGCAGCGGTGGCGGACGTATCGTCGGGATGGAAGACATTGGCCACGTTTCGCTGTAGATACATATGTGGAAGAGACATCAATCTTTGGATAATGCTTCGCGCATCAGGTCTTTCAATAAAAAGATAGATAAATCCATGGAATACTTACATGCACAAACACTTCACCGAGTTCAGCTTGGATGACAACCCCCTCAGACACACGAGAATCCGAGCAGCCGAGCCAGAATACTGACGGAGATTGACCCTTACAGGTAGAAGCCAAGACGTCGGGATTGCACGTAGAGGCGAACTTGTGGTTACGATCAAAGAAGTTGCACAGAGTAGGGGAGCTTGGTGCAAAGGGTTGAGACATGATGCCGAGACGTATAAGTTGTTTTTAGATCTGGGAGTTCGGTTCGGGTGGAGGAGGAGAAGGACCTTTGAGCTCAAGAATTTCTTAAATATCTGCAATGTTTGGACTACTGCGAGGTTTCCGCTTGAGTTGTTAAGACAACTTGTTTCAGTCAGACCAGTCAGGATATACAACACTGACGGTGAATGTTTGTTGAGAAATTGTTTGCGTGGCAACACTGCGGCCGAGAGTTCCAAGAAAGGCGATGGTTAAAAACATCCAAATATTTTGATATTCGGCTCGGGTGGAGGCTGCACCGTATACATAACTTGTGCTCAAGAGCGGGGTTCACGAGCAATGTAATCACAGCCGAAGGGGCCATGCAACATTCGGCTTCATTCCTTCTTGGCATTAAGTCGCCAAGCTATGCTATCAGATGGCGGGCTTTGGCGAGTTACAAATTTACGCGTAAAAACGCGGGTCAATCATAACCATGTTGAAACATCTTGGACAAACGAACCATCCCAAAAGGAAAAGCAGCCCTGCGTATGTACGATTCGGCTTATCCGCACTCGTGCGCATTGGACATCAGAGAAACAAAATATTGAATTCGGCGAGAATTTTCAAGATCCTCGTGCCGCTGAAGTGCTCCTGTGGAGTGACTGGCATTTAACTTTAGTCTATCTTACAACTTCAACCACCACCAATCAAAACATTCACAAACAATAAAGCAATCACTTCTTCCAAAGCACCCACCCAATTCCCACAAACCTCAAGATCCACATAGCTACCCTAGTACATACAAAGAGTGATCTATCTAAGCTCCAGCTCACTTGATTCTGAATTGTCTTTCGTGTGCAAGTCATAGATCCCACATACTTACAAAATACTATAGGTTATATAACAGTATGAAGATTAAGAGGGGCTGGGACTGGAAGAAGAATATATAATGAGATTATGGGGAGTGGTCTGGTACCTCAGTCAGAAACCCATGATGAGGCTATGTTGGAGAGCCAAGAGAATACAAACAAACATACAAACATAATAAGAAAATGAATCAAAACACAATTTCCACATAACCTAAGCAAAGCAAAGCAAAAGAAAGAAAGAAGGAATGAGAAGAGAAATAAGTCCGTAGATAGGTAACATTTGCTTGAATAAGACAGAGTAGGAGAGCGAGGTATCGGGCCTTCCTTGAGGCTGAGCCTCACAAGTCAGAATCTCAGCTGTCCGGACGATGTACCCACACAAACTTCAATAGCGCGAGCAACGGCCCCCGCTTGGGGCCGACAACCACGATCAGAAGGCGCACTTTTTACGGACCCAACAGGAATATAAACATGAGAATATAGATATGGTTAGGTGCTTGGAGACCACAGAGCTAACGAGGGGCCAAACCAGGCCCATTGAACGACGATGAGAAGGATAAATAGGAACATAGAAGGACAAGTTTGCAGAGCGAAAGATGAGATATACAGAGGGAAGAAGAGGCGTCCGTAAGAGTGGGTTCGTGCAGTCTTCGTCATAAGCGTGATGTTGGCCTAGAACAATAAAAGGCCGCTTGCACAAGAGATGTCCTTTGAAAGCGTTTTTCGTGGCTGTCAATTAGGAGCGAATGGACGAGGATGGGGGAGTATGATGATCGTTGAGTTCCATGGGGTGAGAGAGGGGTACTGAGTTGTTCCTTGCATTCCCTGATTTTGATTTTGTTTGGTTCGTGATCTTTTAAGGGTTGTGTGTAAGTTGGGCAGTCGTGATGATGTGAGTGCAAGCCAGGTATTAACCAGTCGAGTCGACTGTTGGGAATGGAGGCGATGGAGATGATGGCTATAAAGATGTAAATGAAATAAAAAACGAGGGATGTAGGTCAGAGTTGATCTAGGTTCTGAGAGGTTAGAGGGCCGAACTGCGCACCCGTTGGTTCGGTTGATTCGGAGCAGGATTATCATCGTCGTCGTCGTCGTCGTCGTCGGGTTGATGGATTGCGATGGAGGGCAAGACGAGGGTGGCGGTGGATTGAGTGGACATTCTCATTTCATTGGTGATGTCTAATGTAGGAGGATTGTGATCGTGGTCAGCCGTTGTTCTGGCTGTCGGATCGTCTTCATATTTGGGCGGCTGGGCGTTGTCGTCCATAGGGAGAGAGGCCGTATGGTCCCTGACGAGTTCGTCGGAATGGGGCAGCGTTTCGGCAGTGCTATCTCGTCCAAAGGGAGTCGATGTGATGGGTGTGGCGGCTAGGACGGTGTCGTTATTGGGCAGTAGTGTGCCTGACGACGCAAACGAAAAAGCAGCAACATTAAACAGGATGATCAGCACCCTGGTGTTCTAATGCAAGTCTACGATTATTATTTCAAGGATCGGAGATGGAGGATCATATACTTTCTCGATAGGTGGGCAAGCCCATGTCTTCCCCCCTCCGCTGCATAGCCATCCGTTCCTCATGCTCTCGAGCGGCCGGATCAGGTTCGTCGATGGGTGGACTCCTCTTCCGATACTTCCTGGTATACACGATCCGAACGATGATCGAGAGAGCAATGAGGATCTATTTAGATGAGCACACACATATATTCAGACAGGCTTCAGGTCTCCTCAGTCTCTGTAATCTCAAAGATGTAGGAAATCAGATGGCTGACGAAGACAACAATGACAACAGCCCCGTAACTAAACCAATGTATTGTCAGAGTCTGAAAGTGTTTCATTTTTCATTTTTTGTTTTTGTTTTTGAATTTGAAGTGGGGAAGTGTTACGAACTAAGTGGCAGCGCCGGCCTTGTTTTGTTCGGACTCGGGCTTGTCGTCCTTGTCGTCCTTGAGCAGGGTTGCGTTATTGCTGCTGCTGTTTGATGTTCGGGGGACGGTACTGTTGGGCGAGGACATCTCTGAGTGGTGTGGTTGGGTTGGCTTGGGTTCTGGGTGGGCAGTTAAATTTATGATAGTGATCGTAATATGTATGAGGCGGAGGGAGTGGCTCAGTCAAGTCAGAGCGAACTGGCGGCTGGAGGAGTCCAACCCAACAACCGAGCCCACCCAAGCACCCTTCAGCCAGCGGACATCCCACCCCAGCACTCCCACGCCCTTCCCTCCTGGGAGCAGCCCCACAGCCACCCGCCAAGGAGATGCGCCCGAAGCCGAGCGAGAGCTGCCCGTCGGCTGAATCATCACAGTCACCGTCAAATATCTATAGAGGGCATCCGTGAGAGGGCCTGAGTAATCGGTCATATCACTAACTTGCAGAATATGTAAGCCGCGGGCCATCTTATCATAATTGATCTATCATTCGGGACCTCAATGTACTGCACAGGATGACTCAATTTTGAGCTCAAGTTCCACATAAGCCTGTCCAATGACTCCCATTTTGGTCAAGGCAACTTGCGGATAAATTGGCCAAAGAAGCGTTGGAGTCCCCCTCATCGCAGAAACTACTCATCAAGCGCAATTTCAAGAAAGTCCTCCGCCGAACAACAGCTTGCCTCTCCTCAAAACCCTCAATCTCGTCGGGCCTGCATATTGCCCTCAGTTCCTTAATAAATCAATTGGCCTCAGGTCATAATGCACTGAATTATCATTTGTTTAGGATTTGTATGTAGGACATTCGACCCGCTTTGCCCCAATTGTGGGGCGAGGGAAACGGTGTTTCATCTCATGAATTTCTGTCCACATTATATAAGAATTCAGAGGGTGTTACTTCGCAAGAATCTGCGTCTCTTACGGATACGGTTTAGGGCGGAAAGACTTGACTTAGTCCTCAGTAACAGGAAAGCTGAGGTACCCCTGGCAAAATTTTTACTCGACTCAAACCGCTTTTTGGCTCAACTCCCTTGACGACACATCCTCGGATTATATTTCATTCTTCATCATCATCAATATTCCTTTTTCCTTCTCATTTTCCTTTTTCTGTTCTGTTATCATTTTAGGCTCCATCTCTCATAGCAGTCTTCTCTTTGTTGTTGCTAGTTTATGCATTGTGTTCTGCTCATTTCACAAAGATGTTACTTAGATTCATAGTGTGCAATGCCATAGGCCAAATTTCACTTAAAAAAAAAAAAAAAAAAAAAAAAAACCTGACTCACGCGACTAGCCTCGAGACTGTTACATGCCACCTTTGTCCTAGGTATGTAGCCCACACCGGGTACATGGTTCGGTTGATATTTAACCTGAATGCACATCGTGGGGGTTTTTTTGAGGGCATCAGTTTGTCTGACAGCCCCTATTCAGCACGTCTGAAGGATGTTTCAACAAGTTCCTGATGCGAGTTCTAAAACAGGAAACACCATTCTGCTTGTTTTCATCAACGTGGGTCAATGGGTGCTTGATATTTCAGCAGAGAGGCGCTCTTCGGCACTCGTAAAACAGACTGCTGGTCTATCTCCATCGCCCTTCAGAATATCATATTCCATACCCGTCCACCACCGCTTTTCTGAGTCTGGCCCTTCAGGTTCAAAGATGAACGCTTCCCTCGCGATTGTATTCATCGTAGCTGCAGTCTTACCTTCCATAGTCTACTCCGGTGTACCGAACGACCTAGTTTGTCAGTGTTTTGAAAATTTTGGAATCACCAACAACGCTCATAGCGCTTTCATCTGACTTGAAAGTCCTCGACTGATCATAATTTGGGTCTTCAATTTTTCCGAATCCAGTTGGTCGGATGTATGGTGCACTTGGTATCAAGCCCCCTTCGATTGTGTTGCAAGAGTCCCGAAACCCAGGTCTGATCATTAAGAACAAGCACATCGCATGGATAACCCAATCGCTGGACACACCTGATGGTATATAACCTATTTGAGTGTATCTTCAAGTTTGAATGGTTTTGCTTGTGGGACTGAGCACACATGTTTGCGAAATTCAGGCGGTAGGCGGTTGCAAAAATTGATAGGTTAGCCATCATTAAATCATTCTGTTCCATTGAGGAGGGTCGGTTGCAGAATGGCCGCTGAACTGGGAGAGGACCTTTATGATGACAGTCGAATGCATCATTGACCTGAAACGGTGCGGAAGAATCGATCTTCAAAACACCTGGGAAGCTCATATGGTTACTGGTTCAACTAAAAAAAAAATTGCGGCACGTCCACGTTCGAGTTCCGATAACCAAATCGTCGACCTACGCGATAAAATATACAAGTTGTGCTTGGATTGGGATACCTCCGAGCTAGACCGCGATCGTGACAGTTGGGTAGAGAGAAAAATGATGGAATTGGAAGATGTCAAGCCCACTCTTTCTACAATTGAACTTGCTTTTAACTTTGCAGCTTTCTCAATGCTGTGGAGAAGCTACCGGATCTCATTCTCTGTCGGTAAGCTTTTATATCATTATTATCATGTTTGTCCAAGAAAACAAAATCCGCTCAATGAAACATGCAGCTTGAAGTAAGGATTTGATCGCTGAATTGTCTGGACTTGAAAAAAAGCTTTCCAAATGGCCGTATTCCAACACGCTCGAGTGATTCCTGAAGAAAAACTTAGGGTTCTAATGAGATTTGCTGACAATGACCCCAGAAAGCGAGAAGTGATCGGTGCTTTTTACGGCAGTATGCTTTCAAAGAAGGAAGCAAGCAGCTACGATGCCCATTCTTTCCAGAAAGCGATGAGGGTCATTCTACTCAAACAATTCCAATTTGAAATGTTTGATTCTCCAACTATCACCAATTTTATGAAACAGACATCCGGGCAAGAATACTTCATGCTTTCTGAGTGTATGTCATTTCTCAAAGCCCCCTGAATGTGACACGGTCGAGAATCATTCTTCCTTCGCCTTATGAGTGCTAATTTGATATTGATCTGGTGATCAAACTGTCAGTCGTGAAACTCTGCCAGGAAGTAGGACCGTCGATGATCAAGCAACCAGACCTGTTCTGGAAGCAACTCGAGGCCGCTTCGGTTCAAGACGATATCCAGCCTTTGATGAAAACATACCATAAGGTTTGCCAGTACTTTAGAAATGGGGTTCCAATGGACAAAGCCTTTGAGTATTACGAGCTAGTTGCATCCATTGTCCTCGAGCTTAAACAACTTGAACAAACAGAAACAAAGAAGATACGCAGTGAGAATTTCAATAAGCTGTCGAAAGTCACGTCAAATCAAAAAGGCACTGTCGACAAAGAAATCAAGCTGGAAAGTCAAGATGATGAAGAAAAGATTATCCGAGAAAAAGCAGAAAGGGTGATACGCGACAAATTCAACTTGGCAATGAATTACGCGGAAGAATTTCAGATGGAGCCCCGTTCGAAATCATCGCGGGGCGTCTTTCGCCCCACTCCACGCGCGAGGAGAGACCAACTGCAAGAAATAGGTTAGCTATCAAGGCTTTTGAAGAGATAAAAATTTGTCTGACTCGAAACGTTGACTGATCTCGTTCTCGTGACTGAACCATTTAATCAAGCATTGCTGTTCCGTGATCTGCTGACACCCCGATCCGTCGTCGATGAACTAGATGAAGTTCAACACAAGATTAGTCAGGAAGTTTCCAATGCCCGTTTGCCAGTCGTGATAAGAAATAAAGCGATGACATTCGCGGTAATTGTCCAGCACGAGATAACGATCCCCACTGCCCAAAGAAATCTTCCAGAGGACGCGAGCAGCCAGTCAGCAGGCCGGTACGGGATGTTCTGGAGTAGCAAGCTGTCGGACGCATTCGGCAAGGCACAAGAGGAGGGTAAACTATCCACCGATGACGCCCTTCTTTCAAGCACACCTTCGCTACAGAACAACCAAGATATCTGGGATGGAATCAAGAGCACCATCGAGAGAGAATTTGGGGCAATCAGTTCAGCTAACGCTGAAAACTTGATAGGTTGTTTGAAACGTGTTGAGACCTATATTTTGAGGAGGGAAATATCACATAGAATTTGTAAGTCATCCAGAATTGATTTCTAATCGGATTTATCTTAAGCACCTTTGCTGACTTGGGCTTTGTTTAAAAAACAAACAAAAAATACACACTTTAAAAGCTCACGTGATGAGAAAAGCCAGTGATTCAGAAAAAATCGTTGCTCTGGAATGGGTTCAAGCGAAATTGGACGAATTACAAGCATCACCGCAGCAATTCATTAAACCGAAGGAATTTGAAAAGTTGAGACAAACGTTGAATCTAATCAAGAAACACTCAAAGAAAGGCCCTTCCACAGTGATTTGGGAGCAAAGAATTTCACCTAAAATCTCGGAATTGTCAATAGATTTGGCAATGGTACTCGACGAAATCTTTGCTGATTTACCATACCAATTTGTAGCTGATGTGATACACAAATGACTAGAAAGAGAGGTAAAACCACTTGTCAATCAAGAATGGTACTCAGCTTTGAAAGTACTGATACTTGCAGGGGAAGATATAATTAGAAACTCTCAGCAGCAGAAAACTTTTCTTCAAAGATTTCTTCACTTTGTAGAAAAATCCAAATCACTTCAACTTCTGCATATTTGAACTGCTATCTTGGCATGTCTTCAATTTTCATATCCATTGAAGAATAATATATATATATAGATAGGCATTCATGTTGTGTTCCTTTTTCTGGGAGGGTTAAAATAAGAAAAATTGACTGTGATGTGGCACTACCTTCCATTGAGTTCTGGAAGACTTATTTTCCTGCTGACGCACTATGAGATAGGGCTGGCACCTGCAGGTAATTTTGGCCTTGGGGGCTTTCCCACAACCTTTCCTGCTGGTACAACCAGCTTCAGGATTCCCAAAGGGTCAAGCCCGACTACATAACTTCAGGGATTGGGTCAAGTATTTGGGTGCCCTCAGTCTCTCAGACTTACTGTGCTTTGCCTGGTGATCCAGTTGGTAGCTGTTCACTGTGGGTATCCAACTGAACTCCAATGTCAGAACAGCCTCCTTACCCGCGGATTCCTTTTTCTGTTTTTAGAAAGCACCAAACTGACCACTGTCCCCCCAGGGTTGGAAAATGGGTATACCCAAAACCTGTGGTGGTTGTGTCAGCTATGTGTATGAAGCTTTGGTGTAATTAATATAAATTCCATGTACTATCACTGTGATGAAGGACTAGTTTAAAGACCAAGATTACTCGTAGTCACCCTCAAAGTATTAAGTGGTCCAAACTTCCCACTTAAGAGGTTAAAAGTCCACACTCCTCAGTTAATGATGCTTTGAATAATCAAAGGAGCACTGTAGGAGACAATAACAGAAGGGTCTTAGCTAATCAACTCCCAAAAAGTGGAGGATTGACTCCCAAACGTCCGGGACGTCCTGAGACATCCAAATGCCCTATTTTTTTCCCCCAAAAGTTTGGGAGTTGATCCTCCAAAACTGTTGGTTTTTTTGGGAGTCAAATATACAAAAAAAAATATTAAAAAAATAAAAGAAAATTGGGGGTTTTGGGAGTCAAACCTCCAAAACCCCGCGGCTGTTTGGAAGTCGGAGCCCCAATTCCGACTCCAGCCCAGCCAGACCCCTGCGCAGTCGTTTGGGAGTCGGCACTAGTAAAAAAAATACAACACATCCTTTTACCTAGCACAAAAAAAAAAATTAACAGCCTCAGCTGCCCTCCAACCCGCCTGTGAAAAACTGCCCATCCAAGCAACAATCAAACAGAGACAAGACAAGACAGTATCAGGTGCTTCTTTGTATCATCTCAGAATTTGAATACCCAGAAATACCATATTTGTGTTGTCTCACTTGCATGAGACAATACACAGGTATTGTATTTGGAAAGTGAGACACATATTCTGTATTGTCTCAGAGGGATGATCCCACCAAAAACGTATTTGATACACATGATATTTGGCTGTATTGAAGAAAAAAAAACAAAGATAATTTCTTTTTTGCATTTGTAAATCCAAATCTGAGACAGTGGATTTTCTCACCAACCAAGCAAATACTGATACCAGGTATCAGGCTCAAAATAAAGACAAGGCAAGACAATACCAAATACATGTCTTGTCTCTGTTTCAGCGTTGATCCAAAGGAGTTTTGTGTCCATCCAATCTCTGGTCCTCAACAGCCATTGGGTGGAGTGTGAATGTACATCCCCTTGACAGAAAAAATGGGGATCTAAGGTTAAATCAAGGGACTAAGATTTATGCCTCCTGGTGAAGCTGTAGAGAATGAATTCCAAAGAATGATTCTGAAAAGTTGGATAGAAAAATGTTTTGTAAGAAATTTGTATATTTTTCCTCATTTTTTTTTTTTTAATTTTTTGGTATTTTTCAATCATTTTTCAAAGTCTCTCAAAAAGTCAGGATCAAAACAATCACATGTGAAAAGAATGATTATAAATGAAAAATGGAAAAAAAATTATGATCCAAGGTTTAGAGAGCAGAAGAAACTGGACTGAGATTGAAATTAAATCTGATTTCAGTGCCTGATTGCAGGGTTGGTCTGGTGGATGACACATTCCAAACCACTTTAATAACAGCTGTTGATCATTTCCCTTCAAATTTCAATTCATAGCCATTCTTTTTCCATGCAATTGTGTGGATCTTGATTTTTTGAGATACTTTGAAAAATGGTTGAAAAATATCCAAAAAAGTAAAAAATGAGAAAAATTCTACAACAATTTTACAAATTGTTTTTATCTCCAACTTTTCAGAATAATTCTTTGGAACTCACTTTCTACAGTTTCATCAGACTAGAGATTTCACTTGGCACCTGCCAGCAGGTACCCACCACAACTTCAAACAATTACCTGTACACCTCCAGCCACCAGCTGTGCATTTGAAGGATGTATTACTGTCCAATAAACAGTTCTGCATGCTCCACCTTCAAAGCAGGTGGATGGAAGTGTCCAGGGCACCTAATTCTGAAAGTGTGGCAGGTACCTGCCGGTGGGTGCCAAGTGACATCTCTACATCAGACTGCATGAATTTCATGTCATTGGTTTAACCTCTAGACTCCAATTAAAGGGTTCCATTTTTTTCTGTCAAGGGGCTGTACACACTCCCATGAATGGCAAAAAACAGACATTGGTTGGAGTATAGACTCCACCAGTTGACTGGTTGTCAGACAGAGTAAACCCTGTTTGACCAGTCATCACCAGCTTTCAATGGGAGTGTGTACTCAGTGCAATGACAGGTAAATACTAGTCATTGAGGGTGTGTACTCCAGCCAATGGCTGGTCTTTACAGTCACCAGATGGAGTGTGTACTAGAGATGGTCGCGGATAATCCGCCGCGGATATCCGCTATCCGCTGGCGGATACCCGCCAGTGCCAGCGGATACCCGCCAGTGCCAGCGGATACCCGCCAGCGGGTGCGGATGCACCCTTCCACCTGAAATACTGGCGGGTATCCGGGTATCCCTTGGGATACCCGGTGCCAAGAGGCCACACCGCCGGGAGGAATCCCTCCCGGCAAGCTGGTTTCTAAACCAGCTCGTCGGGAGGGGTTTCCTCCCGACGAGCTGGTCTGTGTACCAGCG